CCCAAGAGAGGTGAGGTAGCCAACCATTTCACAAGCGGGCTAGAAGAAAAGTGTCCTGTCCTCCCAGACAGGAAGCAGGAGCAGTCCACAGAAACACTGCCTGGTATCCCGGGAATTTGCTTGTCTGCTGTGTGGAAATAGTCCGACCCTGGAGAGTCTAATTCCAAGACAGTTACACACACATTCCAGATAAAGATGCATCTTCATCTGAATTGGAATAGAATGGCAGACCTATATCATGCCTGATGTTCTTAAGAACAGAAAAATAAAATTCCTTATCTAGTATTATAGTCTCCAGTCCCTTGTATAAGGAGAGAAAAAGCTCTCCGAAGAACCTAACCCCAGCACCCATTCCCAACACAACTGCCTACTTTAGGTGATGTGCCCCAAAGCCTGCATTGGCCTATTGCTTTTTTCTCATGTGAGTAACTGCCTCCTGCCCCTTTCATTTCTCACCAAGGACAGAAACCTCACTCCCAGCAGCCCTTTTTTATATCCATCCATATCTGCTTGAGTCCCTGCAGGGTACCCCAGCTTGAGGTTTCAAAGAATCAAAACCAGGGAAGAAATATGCTCCTTCTCACAGGACATATGATTGAGGGCTTTGTCAGCCACGAGCTGGAGTCATAGAGAGGACATAGATCTGGATATTGCTCAGACCCATTTCGAATGCAGCTCTGATTGTAAATGCTGTGGAAGACTTCAGTTGCAGATGCTCAGTGTCTTCATCCCTAAACCAGCGGTTCTCAACCTTCCTGATGCTACATCCTTTTAATACGGCTCCTCGTGGTGCAGTGACCCCCTCCCACCATAAAACTGATTTCATTGCTACTTTATGACTGCAATTTTGCTATTGTTATGGATCGTAATATAAATTAGAGAATTTTCAAAGGGGCCACGACCCATAGGTTGAGAACCAGAGCTTTACGCCATATGTCGGTGATAACATTTCTCCATATTGATATAGCAGACATCAAATAGAAGCATGTTTATAAAAGGCCTCATGCTGCACACTCTTTTCATTTCCACCACACTCATTCTGTTTCTATCTCTCCCCGCTGCTAAAAGCAAATAAACAAAAACCAAACACCACAGTTATGGCACTGGTCAGATGGCTTGGTTGGTGAAGGTGCTTCCTGCCAAACCTCATCATCAGAGATAAATTCCTGGAACCCACGTGGAGACACGAGTGAACTGACTTCAGCAACCTGTCACCTGACTCTCACACATGTAGCGTGACACGTCTGTGTTCACACACATCCCCACACATAAATAAATAAATGCAATAGACTACGTTGAGTGTGAGGACTCAGTAGCAGCTGAAGCAGGAAAAACGTGAGTTCAAGGCCCCAAAGCTTGACTAAGTTCACCGGTATTGTAATTCACTATGCAACTGTCTCTACTTCTATATGTGTTTAAATATTTTGTTAAGAATGTAAAACGAGGGCTGGAGAAATGGCTCAGAGGTTAAGAGCATTGCCTGCTCTTCCAAAGGTCCTGAGTTCAATTCCCAGCAACCAAATGGTAGCTCACAACTATCTGTAATGGGGTCTGGTGCCCTCTTCTGGCCTGCAGGCACACACACAGACAGAATATTGTATACATAATAAATAAATAAATATTTAAAAAAAAAAAAAAAGAATGTGAAACGAGCCGTTTTTTTAAACAATGTTTAGAGCTAGGCTTGGTAGTGCAGGAACGTAAGCCTCACTACTTGGGAAATCGGGGCAGAGGAATGCTGGGCTCAAGGACGTTCTGCTACAGAGTGAGTTCAAAACCAGCCTGAGTAACTGAGTGAGACTCTGTTTCAAAATGAATAAAAACTTAAAAGGGTCTTGAGACACAGCTTGGTGGTAGAGGACATGCATAGCAGTGGTGAGGCCTCCTTGTACAATCAATCAATCAATCAATCAATCAAACAAACAAACAAACAGTAAATCCACCATGATTTAGTACATACAAATAAACATAAATAAAAGCATGTCCTTTCATATAAAAAAAATTAAGTCGCAAAACTCCAAAGCTGGAGAATATTATTTTATTCAAATTGAGGCATTTTATAAAATATCCAACATCTTCAGGAAGTTTTCTTCTAATATGGGAGTTACCTGAAATGATATTAATAGCAAGGCTAACACCTTGACTTTTACCTATGCCACATTCTTGATACAGATATTTAAAAAGGATTACTTTTATCAAACTATATCTATTTTCTTTTCCCAGTTTATGTAATGCATAATAACTCTGCATTTTATCACCTCCAACCTGTGTTTTAAACGAATTTTTTGTCATATGAAGCCTGATATATTCAGCACCTGGTAAACATAGTTTGTTTCACAAATTAAAATTTAGTGAATCCTGTAACTAGAGGTTTCCTTCTCGCCTGCCAGTCTTCAAATATCCACTCTGAGGCTTAATATTAATTTCAAACAGTTTGGCCATGGCTGAAGTTTATTACTAACTAGATTTTATATCTTAAATTAACCTACTTCTATTAATATATGTATTGCCACATGACTGTGCCATTACCTCACGTCTGCTTCTCCAGGAGCTGCTGGTGGCTCCCTGACTCTGCCCCTTTTCTCCCTGTATCTCTTTTTGGATTTCCCACCTGGCTCTCCTCTGCCTGGCTATTGATCAAATCAGAGTCTTTAATAACCAATGGTAATAAGACATATTCGCAGCATATATAGAGACATCCCACATCATTTCTCCTTTTCTGTCTAATTGAAAAGGAAAGTTTTAACTTTAACATTGTAAAATTACATGTAACAAAACAGATATCAAGCAAGAATTACAGTTACAATATTTAGTCTATATGCATTTGGAAAAATTAAAGAAAATATTTTTATCATTTATTTTATCTTTGTGAGTCTAAAGTTTCACATCTAATTTATCATTTATCATAACTAAAGAAAACAATAATTACAACTGTCTAGTCTTCAACGCCATCAAAGACCTCAAAAGGATATATTTCCAAATAAACAGGAAGTAAATGCATTGTAAGCAACTTCTAAAACTCTACAAATGAGAGAGACATCTCATTGCCTAGACAGTCACCCAAAGTTCTCCTGTAACATTGGGCATCTGTGGCGCGCTCCTTGACCAGCAAGCAAGAACGACCATGAAATCGAGGATTCTTCTCTGATCACACTTTATTGGAGCCTCTTGGTTGAAGGGAGAGCAGGAAGCAAGAGAGAAAGAGAGAGAGAGAGAGAGAGAGAGAGAGAGAGAGAGAGAGAGGAAAAGCTAAGCGGCAGCTGCTTTTCTAGGGTGGAGGGGCTCGGATACTGTCCTGATTGGTGAATACCATTCTGCTGGTGATGGGGCCTCGAGATTGGCCAGGGGCAAGGCTCAGTTATGCAAATGCAGGCCAAGGGATACTCAGCCCCACGTGGCAACATCAAAAGGATCTGTTTACCTCCAAGCTGCAGTACCGCCAGCACCATTTCGCAATGGCGATGTCCTGACAGCTCCTTACAGGCATCCATCTTCAGCCTACAGGCCCACAGTATCTGGTGGACTTTACAATGAAGCAGCAAATTTGAAGGACTGTCCTGCCTATATTGGCAGTTTGTCATTCTCTTTCCTGTGTCCTGCAGAATGTCTGGCAGTTTCTTCTGTGAAGCAGGAACCCTGAAGGACCATCCTACCTTGTTTTGACCAAGTTTAGCAATCATTTTCCTGGGAGTCCTGCATGTCCAGTTTATACAGCACACAGTTAAGCAGTCCAAGCAAGAGCAGTTTCTTGCCCAAATGGCTAGCCTTGACACATTGAAAACCAACTCCATAAAGAGCTTCTTCAATACCCATTATCCTCTTAAAGTAATTGGTGCTGCCAGGACATGTCTCACTGTCAAAAGAAAGTCTGAATTCTTAAAACATAAATGCCATATTCTGTCGATATTTGAAGTGTTTGAAGATTATCTATCCATCTGAACTATATCTCTGCAATATCTGGGAAACCTAACATGACTATATGTCTGACTATTATAAATGACTACTAATTTGTATTTTAACTATACATTTTTAAATGAGCTGCATAATACATTAACATAATACCTTAAATAAGATTAGAAATATACACATATATATATATATGCATATAACAAATTGACCTTATATTTGTATCAATAAACCAACTCCAAACCAATGGATTTTGAGATAAACAGTTGTTTTTTGGATTATAGTAGATTTAATAATCTACCTTTTTATCATTTCTATATAATATCCCCCTTTTTAGAAAGAGATTGACTATGCCCATTAACCATTTATAACCAATGCCCTTTAAATGAAAACAAGAATTAATAATATTTTGGGGATTTGGATGTAGTTTTCTATAATACTTCCTGCTGATTGGGGGTGCTAGCAATCTATGGCAAACCCAAGAAAATGTATAATTATGGTTAAATCTTGGCTGTATTAATCTATAAGGCTGCATTGTCTCAGCCAGTTTCCTTGAAGATGTTCTGGGTATTGGATCATCACTCCTATCAGAGACCTCTGTGTCTTGTTCCATCAAAACACATTAGCCTGGAAGGAATCCATAGCTTCTCATCTTCTGTGGAAATAAAAGCAGAATCTCTTTTCCAAAGCAACATATCCTTAGACCCAAGTTTTAAAGTCATGATAGCTTTATGTTGGTTTAGCTTAGTAGGCCCCACAATCAAATCTCTCTCTGCAATTTACTCATTAGTAGTCAAAAATTTAAAAAAAACAATAGTATACATATCCAGATTCTCTGTGCATTTATCATCTTTATGTGGATTATTTTAATTTTTAGTACTCTATTTCCTTTTTGAGAACCTCAGTTTATTATCTTTAAATTATTCTTTTAATCTATGACTCTGTCTATCCTTTATCCTCTCTCTTCCAAGCCTATGCATGTTTATCAAACACATTGTGACCCATTTAGAGGCCTTTTCTGTCTGAATCTGTTTTTATTGTGTATCTGTAATCATTTTTTTTGACCTGAAGAGTTTTTAAGATGCTAAGTGGGCATGGCTAGGACCAAAGCCAAGGCTTTGTCTGCTGGCTCCACCCTGTTCACCTTTTCAACATGGCAGATGTACCCAGGTGAATCACGCTCACCTTCCCAACTCTGGGAAGCAGGTACTAAGTAACCTGCAGCTGTGCTATGTTCTTCAGCCTACAGCTGTGCTTTCAAGCTTGCAGGCAGCATCTGGCCACCGTAAGAGACTTTGAGGATCCACCAAGCAGCTTGGTCCATGGTGGTTGGCAGTTGTTCAGAGATGCGATTCTGTGCCGTGGCTAGCATGAGAGACTAGCAAGCCCAGTGTGTCTGTTTCTTTGTGATTAGAACCTTTTAAAAACTTTTTTAGGTATTATGTTGACCCATGCCAGATGGTTGGTGCCATTTGTAACTGGAGAGTTCTCTCCCACCTGCCAGTTCCCAAATATTCACTCTGGGGCTTAATATTAATTACAAACTGTTTGGTGGATAGCTCAGGCTTATTACTAACTAGATTTTACATCTTAAATTAACCCATTTCTAATAATCTATTTATTGTCACATGTCCATGGCATTACCTTACATCTTGTTTCTCTAGAGGCTACTGGTGTCTCCCTGATTCTGTACTCTTTCTCCTTGTTTCTCTGTCTGGATTTCGCACCTGGCTCTATTCTGCCTGGCTATTGGCCAAATCAGCTTCTTTATTAACCAATGGTAATAAAACATAGTCACAGCATACAGGGAGACATCATACATCAGAGGTTCAAAATAAATATTTGTTCATATCTTTAGGAAGTATTATTTTGGGGTGGAGAGGCAAGAATGATATCAATGCAGTAGGCATATTAGAAGTTCTCAAAAAATAAAAATAAGAAACTAGTATCTAGCACTAATGTGACAACATTTTGCCCTTTGGGCAGAATTTCACACAGCTTAGCTAAACTACATGTCGACCATGTAATATAGTTGTGTGTTTCTTGAGATCAAGGCTATTACTTAAAAACTTTGTAGCTGCAATAGCTCCTTTTAAAAATTCATAGTTCATAGAACTACTCTAATATTAATTCTGAAGCATTCCGTATAGACTTGAAAGTTGGAAATCTATTAGATGTACGTGACCAAACATGAATTGCAGGTCGCACAGACACAAAATGTAAGGGTCAAAAAATGAGCTACATTGTTTGGCAACCCTGAAATACGACATGTATGCAAACTATGAGAAGAGATATGAACACATTTGTGATGTATTTTCACGCTGCATTTTGATATTGGTTTTCTTCAGTTTTCTGTTCAAAAAATAATAAAACACAGTGAATAATTGAGAAATGTACAGAACTTCTTAGGAATGCAGTCCCATATAATTTTATGGCTACTAATAGTCGGCTTACTATTAAAGCAAGAATGATGCAGATACAGCAGTTGTCTATGAAGTTTCAAAAAATAATTTTAAATAAGAATCTACTCTCTTGCTCTGATGAGGCAACATTGTTCCCCTTGTACAGAATAACGCACATCTTAGCAAAGCTATATATCAACCTTCTCATACAGTTGTGTTTCTTGAGATCAGTTTTACTAAATACTTAAAAAACTTTGTAATTATAATATCTCTTTTTAAAAAAATTCATAATTCAGGAAGGTCTTCTACTATGAATTCTTACTATTAATTACTATCAACGTAGCCTACACAAGTTACTTCTTCACTGCCATTCCAAAGAATAAATAAATTAGTTCATTAATAGTTTACAGTTCTGATCAAACTCTAACTTAGAGGTTGATTCAATGTTTCTGAACCTCTCCTGATGCATCTACTCCATTTTCTATTTGGCAGGGAAAAATAAGAGGAATTCTGTGGTGTGTTTTAAATGGTGCTACAGGCGTCTCTGTAGCACTACAGAGCAGTGGAACTCATGCATCATCCTCCCTGATTCTCATGACAACCCCAGAACATAATGAACAGCTTCAATGGGTTCTGTATCTAATGAAAAGTGTTTAGGGCATGCCAAATTTCATGGTTGCTATGAAAATTATCAACCAACTAGAAACATTTGGTATTTTATGCCAAAAATGTGTATTAACAATGATTCATCTTTGGTCATTAGTTGATGATGCTGAATCCTCATTATACTGAAACTATGCTAGCACCAAGGAAAAATGTTTTCAAATTTGGCTTCATTTATATGATGGTCCTACTTCTCAAGTAGCGATCATAGGTTCCTTGCCTCTGGGACTGCAAATGTTTCAGGATGTAACGTAAAGTTAGTATCACACAGCAAGATATTTGTTCCTGCTGCAGATCAAGGCCAGCACTAAATTCTAACTCTAATGAGAACAAGAATGTAAATGGGAACAGCCAAACCAAACTGATGAAGAAAGAAAGCCTAAGGAGTCTACAAAAAAATTTCTTTCAGAAAACCTAAATATTCATTAATCTGTGAATTTCAAAATAGGATCTTTTACTAATTTTATTCTAGTATGATATTAGTCAGGGCTACAAAACAAGACAAGAGAAATACTAATACTTAAAATTATCTTGAACAAAGTAATTAGCTAAGATTTAAAAATTCATTGGTACATACATTAATAATATAAATAGATAATCACCACATAATTTCCCTTTCTTGAAAATATACATTTTCTTGGAGGGGTTGATTTTTTTTTCTTATAGAGAATGTGTTGTTTTAATTTTTTTATTGCTTGTAGTAGCATTTCAATTGCATTTTAATAAACAAAACTTGCCTGAAGATCTGAGAGTAAAACAGCCGCACTGGTCAGCCTTACAAACCAGGTAATGGTAACACACACCTTTAATCCCAGTCGTCACATTAGTTCGCCATAGAAACTGGGCAGGGCATACCTTTAATCCCAGCAGTGCGCGGCCTTTACTCCCAGCCCTAAAGAGAATTATAAAATGGGAGGGGACAGCTCTCAACCACAGTATCATTCCGAGACTCCTAGAGGCAGGATCGCCATTTTGGCCTAAAGTCGAGGCAAAAGCCAGTGACTGGCTGCTTTGCTTTTCTGGTCTTCAGGTTGAACCCCAACATCTGTCTCTAAGTTTTTATTAATCGTGCTTTAATTTCTGTGAGTCAGAGTCTGACAAAAAGCAGCTTAGGGAGAGAAGGGCTTCATGTTGGCGAGTATGAAGGTCTAGTCCATCAGCCTGGGGATGGAAGCCGCATCGGCCTTCAGGAACCAGAGTGGAGTTTATGATTAGGCTCGGCTCCCGTCTCCTTTCATTCAGTCTGGAACCCCAACCCACGGAACAGGTACCATTCACATTCTGTGCAGGGTTTCCTGTCTCAACCAATCCAATCCAGCAATGCCTTCTTAGACATATGCAGGAGTTTGTCCCCTAGAAGAGTCTGGATTCTGTCAAGTTGACAGTCTTAGCAATCACAGAATGTAGAACCCTTGTACTGATGAGGTCCCAATTAAAACATTTTATGTTTATAAGTTAGCATCTAGAATTTTATCCGTTGTTGAGTAAACATGCAAGATTCAAAGGAGAAAAGTCAGTAGTGAAATCTAGAGGAAGATAAGGTGAAAGATAAAGAAATTCCAGTCACTTGAAGAAGAAAATACATTTATTTTTATATCCAGGGATTTAATGGCCCAAATTGAACTGATCTGCTTGCTAATATTCACCTTGACTTTGTATTTGCCTTCAATATCTTCCATTTTGTAACTTCTTTCTCTTCTAAAGACCTCAAGTTAGAAGCGGTTGAGGGAGTGGATATTAATTTGCCAACAAGAAGCTTATTCTATGGCCATTTTAAGTAACAATCAAATTTTTATGCGACCATGGATCATGAGTTTTAAGCAATAGGAATATTTTCAAAGTGGGATTTTAAGCACTGTAATGTCAAATGCTAAAAATGCTTTGTTTCCAGTGACTGTTATTAAAACGTAAGTGGGAATACAAGGCACTCAAGGTCTGCCCTGTGCTTCTCAGACTCTGACTTATAGCTACTAAAAGTGGTACAATCAGTCAAGTTAGAATGGCCTCCAGAGTCTAACTCAAGAATAATATCTGGGACTGGAGGCTCGCTGTCAGGGTAGGCTGTTTGTCCAGCATGTGCAAGGCTTGAACTCCATCTGGGCACTGCATAAAAACACTTTTAAAGTATAAGAACAGGAGCTGGACTATCTTTTATGTTAAAATCCAATTTATACAAGATTCTACATTCAAGCATATTTTTAAAAAGCACTGTAAGCTGACAACAGTGACATAGGAAATAAGCCAGAAGCCTAGAAACTAGCAGTTTGATTATTGTTGAAACTAAACCTTAAAATTATTATTTTAATAATCACACATATACCTAATTCACATACATAAGATACAATACACGATTATTCAATTTATAAAATAGTAGCTATTAAATGTCAGCAAGTAAGTTAATCTCATCTATGACAGAATGTAGCTTCTCTGAAAAATCATGCATATCTAGTAACCACTTTCTTTCTCCTTCTTTTTCAATGTGTATGAATGTATGTACATGTCTGCATCATGAGCATGCAGTGCCTGTGGAGGCCAGAAGGGGGTGTCAGATCCTCTGGAACTGGAATTACAGAAAGTTATTCGTGCTGGGAATGAAGCCTGGGTCCTTGGGAAGAGCAGCTAGTACTCTCCTTCACTTATTATTATTATTGTATTATTATTATTATTATATTGATTGAAAATGTGACTGCCAGTAACACCCTGAGGGGATGCTGTCACTTCTATACATTAATTTTACTGTTTTCTGTAGTGGGACTCTTTGTCCCTAGGCTATTTCTCCTCGGAATAGGGAAACCAAGTGATTAGGAGATTTACCAGAAATTATAAAGTAATTTCATAGCAAAACTGAACTTATTCCTGGTCTCTCCACTCAGGTAGCGTAGCTGTTATTGACGCTGTTGGCAGTGGCCACATATAACATAAAAGAATAAAGTAATACAGTCATTAAGAGCTCTTTCTCCTCATGCTGATGCACTGGAGCATCGAAGCTGAACGGTAGAGCCACAGAGCCAACATTCTAGTTCATGAAGATCACCTGGTAAATTCAGTAAGGAAATAAAGCAAGCTACGATGAGAGCATTACACTCATCAGATCCAAATGCAAACTGCTACATTTTACTCTAACTTCAAAGGCATTCGGAGTTTTTCAAGGAGCTTTTTCACCATGACGAAATGAACAGAGATCATGATTATTTCGCAGTGTATCAAATGCTAGGCATGTCTAACAGCTACCTTAAGTAAGAATTTGTATACCTCAGTACTATTGAGTTTTCCTTCACAAAACGAGCCAAGGATTTCCATTCACCTTAGCTCTTCCTCGCTGTATTTTTCCTTCCGTTTTGGATGATAGCCCGCAATGGTCTCACTCTTATCACACTTATTAGTGTGATATTGCTTCATTCAGATATGCAGCACCAGGGAAATCAAAGCAATAAACCAATGACGCTTGATGGGACAACTCTTTATTTTGGGATGGATTCTTTTGAAAAAAGTTGAAAAACACTCCTTCGTTTTTTTATTTTTCTAATAATTTTGTGATTAAAAACATAGAAAACAAACGTTAGCTTTTTCTTTATCCGAGAATAACTTGAGGGCTGGAGTAGAGGTTATCCAGTGCACAACGGATGTCCCTGGTTTAGGGATCGCTACTAAACAGTTATTTTCCTTACCGAGACAGTTGCTTAATGTCTACTGACAGTATTATTATATTTTTTCTGTATCATTATTCACTGGGGGATGAAGATGTCAGGTTTTCTTGAGAACGAGAGCCTGTTGCTCACACTCTACCAATTTGACAATTATGAAATGATTTGCCATCACACCAATCTGTAAGGCAATGGCCTGGCAGAAGAAAGCTGTTTGCAAATAAGGGAAGCGCACGATTGAAACTGTATTTTCACCAGAGAAAGGGGGCATCCGTGTTTACTGCTGTTTTTCCGTGTGGTATTCTTTCTAAATGTACTTCCAATAGACAGCTGGAAATTGAATTCTTTGGGGGAAGGAAGAGGTAAGGTAAAATGGTCAAGTTGGGGGCTAAGAGAGCAGTAATCAAGGACTCCCACAACCTCCATTGCATAGTTTGTGGGTATGGGCACAGCGCCAGGATAGTTGCATTAAAGCCTTTAAGTCTGGCTCTCCAGGGACCTCTCCAATTCCAATGAGCTAGGGCTGCCATGTTATTTATTAACAACTTTCTACACCCTAGCAAAAGCACTGGCATGCACACACTACATACACTGCATGCTGTGGTTTGTTTGTTCGTCTGTTCTGGTTACTTGTAGACGTTTAATTCTTTGTGGAGCAATTATGAATTACATACTTTTTTATAGCTTGGGGATCTGTTCAGTGATTTCAAAATTCCTTAAAACAATTATATTTTTTTCATTTCTTCCTAACAGTTTGAAGTAATAAGTTCTCTCTGTGTATCTCTCTGTCTCTGTCTCTTTCTAGGGACTGCTTTGTTTATTAAAAGACAGAGTTCAAGGCCAGCCTGGTCCAATAGTTCCAGGACAGGCCCCAAAACTACAGAGAAACCCTGTCTCAAAAATAAATAAACAAACAAACAAACAAAAGAAAGAAAGAATTCTAAATTTTTAAGAACATCTTCTACTCTCTTTGTACTAGAAATGGTCTCATTTCTTCATATTAGTTTTATCTTTACTTTCATTTTATAGTAAAATGCTCTTTAGGAAGGAATACTTACTAATTACTTTTCCTCTTTAAATGTGTGGCTGAAGATATAATAACTAATAATGACAAGGTTTATATAATAAAATAAGGTAATGCCATGACTAGGCATGGGTTTTTGTTTTTCCAAAAAGCATGGTCAATAATACCCAACTGATAACCAAATTTAACATCAAGATTAAAATAAGCTATTGTAAATTCACATTGGATTTAACGAGTCAATATTTCTACCTTATTGATAGAAACTGCCTTGAAAAATTACTGAAATTATAGATTTATAAAAGAAGCATTTCATCGGCTATCTTTGCCGCAACACCAGAATAATGTAACACTGCTTCTTTACCCTCCTGCCCCCTCAAGAAACAGGAATGGATTTATAATGCTCATAGACTGACCTCTGTCACTTGGGTTTCTACTGAGTTGAAAAGATCTATCTCCATAAACTACAGCTAAGTACCTAAAACATTCTGTGCAAATTTTAATGCTCAACCCATTTTTGGACAAGAGAGTACTATCTGTCCTTTCAGGATAAGATAACTGAATAAACAACTTAGATGTCACCTGATCTGATCTCCAAAAGCTGCGATAAATCCGGCATCTTGATTTCCAGCAAAACTTCTCAGACTTTTGCTAAACGAGCATTGTCTTTCATCTTTCAGAGTTCAAGAGTGCCTAGTGTTTAAAAATAACGTCCTTGCCCTCCCAAGGTGGCACTTGTTCTGCACTTGGGAGGCAGAGACAGGAAGCTCTGCTTCAAGGCCTCTTTGGTTCAAGAGAACAAGTTCAAGGCCACTTTGGTTTAAGTAGGGAGCTGGGACTACACGGGTCTCAAAAAATAAGTAAATAAATACAAATAAAAAAGGAATGGCTTCATGATTTTTGGTTGTGAAGCAGATCTACAAGATGGTTAATTCCACTCCACTTTCAGAGCCGCTGCCTGACTTAGTACAGGAAGGGGAATTCGCTCATTCATTGTGTATGTGGTCCAAAGCAAACCAAGTAACAGCATGGCTCTAAGAACAATCAATCAATAAGGCTCCAATAAGAGCCCAGGGCATCTTTGGAACCCATAAGTTGACTTTATGTTCAATGTCTCAAAAGTTCAAAGGAACTCTTCCAGTCTTGAACCACTGCAAGTTCAGGAAAATCTGGAATACGTTATTAATTCCTAACCTCTTCTAAAACTGACTTTACTCTGAGCAAGTAACCATGCACGCTGCCGATGCTGAAGACAGAATTTCCGTCTGAAAGATCGCCTTTCTAACTCAATCTGGCGTGCTGTCCGGCGTGAGTCACCCTGGCTTCGCTCAAATTTCACTTTTCTGACTACGGTGGTCAACATATATTTTCAAGGTTTTTTAACATGACGCGTTTTCTCCAGTCATACACCTCTTCTGCCGCTGGATCGCCCTAGTTTTCTCCCCTAGCGCCCTGGTTCCATTTAGACTATGCTAAACGTTAGACGCGGCACATGACCTGCAGTCCTCCAGGATCTCCGCACACAGGCACTGAACCGTGCTATTCTCCAGGCTCGCAATCTGAAACCGTCCTTCGGCCTCTCAACTCCTCATGAACCTGCGGTGTGAAATTTAAATTTGAAAAATTTTAAATAAAGAACCCGCTCCCCCTTTTTTTTTT